CATCATGCTAAGGACTCCGGCAGGAAACTAGCAACGACACCAACCAGACAAACAGCACACTACTGGTACGTATAGTTCATCCAGTGCTAAGCCGAATTTGGGACTGATTCCTTTCGCAGGATTGATGCCCAATAATATTTGTTGGTAATAATCGTGGCGTTGCTCCTCCGTGGAACTAGTCCATGCACTGCGACCGCCGAGTCTCTAGACTATCAGACTCTAGCAGATGTTCGAAACTACTTGTCTCATGCTCCTGGAACTGTGTAGGTTGACATGTATACATTGTTCAATGCAGTAGATGCTCTCGACCTTACGCAGACGCGCAATGCGAGGTTGTCCGAGACCTGAAGGCATCAACCTGCGCCGCGCCCGACCTGACCGCCTTGTGCGCACCTAAGCCGTCAGAAATAGCCGGGGATGCTGAGGAAGTGCCACTGAACCATCCCTGGACGCCCGAAGCCCCTCAAGGCCGCAAGCCGCAGAATCGTAGACCAAGGTTGGAACAGGCAGAACATCAAGTGCAAGCTGCTCGCACATGAGCCTTGAAACCGGCTTGGCCGAGGGGTTCCAAAGCGTTCCTGTTATGTACTTATCGTCGCAGAGCAGCGTAGACTTAGACAGACCACAGAAACATTCGAAGCGGATGCAACAAGAAGAGCATCTCGCATCTAAACACAGACGCATGATGTAAATCTCCGTGCGATACATATCTATCTATCTATCTATCTATATATATATATATATATATATGTATGTCCATCCAAGCATACATACTTACCAGTGTGCAATGTTTGCATAGTCATATACACATACGTAATATATACATATACATATACATATATTGTATGGGCATGTTTATTGTTTTTTCGTTTATTCATGCCTTTTTGTTTGTTGGGGACTGTTTGCATCATTCCATAATACCTTTTTGTCTTTTGCGCAGAAACAATCACCTCTCCAACTATTCATCCATCTATCTGTCGATCTATCTATTTGCAAAGCCTCGGCAGTTGCTCCTGCTCCTCCCGTCGTTACTCTTGCAGCCGTCAATTTTGGGGTTTCTTGGCCTCCACGCTAGCGTCGCTTGCGGCGGCTGTTGCTGCCACTGAGTGTTTCATTCGTGGTTTGTCAGTGATTGCCGTCTCGGGCCGAGACATGCCAGCGCACGTTTTGGAATTCACGGCAACTGTACCGACATGTAGCAGCATCTAGCACCCTGTCACAGAGTAAAGCCGAACCTACCCCAAACCTTACACACCACTCAATTCGAAAACGCAGCTGTGATTTCCCTTCTTGCCTGGTTCCTTTGCAATGCGGGCCGTGCGAGCCCTTCGCCTTCTGCCACGATTGCGCGGAAAACGAGGTGCCCGGGACACTTGCATCTCAGCAACAGGGTTAGTAGATTTGGTCATCGTTGTGATACGGCACGGTACAAACATAATGTTTCACCAGAACACAGTGAAACTATTCCCAGTTTCCAAAGCTAAGAAACGAGCCCCTCTTGAATCAACTCCGCAACATGGTCTACCCGCAACCTGTCCTTCAACCTAAAACTCCACACCTCGAAGAGAGCATCGCAAAGACTTCAATTTCTCTACAAGACATTGAAGAATTTGGTTCGAAGCCTAAACCCTAAGCCCCCAAACCCTAAACCCTAACGAGAAACCTCAAGTTCTGAAGATTGAGATCCCCCGCAACCACCCCAACAGAAACCCTGAGCTCGCCTTCCCGCCAGACCCTGTAAACTGTAAACTGAGGTCTTATAAGGGTCTTTGATTTACCTTGGGTTACTAGTAGTAGGGAATGGAGGAATGGGCTACAATTATAACTACGATTCCCGACTAACCAAAGGTAAGTTGATAAATTATCGAAGAAGCCCGAAAGCCCCAAAATCCCAATCCTGCACCCACGGCGCAGCACCCTAAGATAGAAGCGTGTAACCCCATTCTAATTCTGAAGGCCCCTATAGATCCTTATGGTAACCCCTATAGACCCCTTTAACGGACCTCTATTCTAAGTAACTAATTATTCAGGCCCCTACATTACACCGAAGACTTCGAAGGCCACGCAAGTGCCGCGAGTGCACTGGTGGCCGGAGAGGTCGAGGGCTCGGGCCGTGGTTGCCGCGAGAGTTTGGAGAGCTTTCGTGGTCCTTTTGAGGGTTTTTGTAGGGGGGGGCTTGGGGTTTAGGGTTTCAGGGTTTAGGGTTTTGAAGAGGGGTTACAAAGGCGCTTCAGATCTTTGAATAACTCAGGGCCTTCAAACTGCAACTAGAATCAAAGGATTTATAAGGGCCCTAAAAGCAAGTTCCACAGGGTCCTTGTATGTCGTGAGTTACAGTTACTGGTCCTCAAGCCATGTTCCATAAAGCTTTGAAGCATCCACAGCCTAGTAATACCTATTATGTTGTTGTGTTCAATATCTAGGCAGTTGGGAGGGCTCTGTTAGAGACTAAAGCTTTTGGGGTTTAGGGCTGGCATTTGCTGGGCTGACGTAGTACCATCCAGGCAGTTTGTGGTAAGATGGTTCATAGTGGGACTGAGGGCCAGGGCCCTTTAGGCTGTCAGTTTATGGTGATCATCATGTGGGCTTGGGCTTCGAGAACCCGGCTGTTTGTTCACAACCCTGGTTAGTTTATCATACATACTTCGGTTTTCGAGTTTACGGTTGAGTACTTCGGAGCAGGGGCATCCGTATTTCAAATTCCGGGTGTCCGGGGTTCAGAACCTCGCATCTCGACCTCCATCCATCCTCGTTCAAGCCACAGCCGAAGCCGCCGCAGAGTTGGATTTGGATCGGTTTTCATCGCTCTCTCAGCATCACCAGTGTGCCTCACTGTCCCCATGAGCCTGAGAAGTACCTCACGATCTCAAGACTCCACTCAGATTGAAGCCGATGCTGCAGCCAAGCAGCTCGCCACAAAGCAACTCGGCTGAAGCAGAGTCCGCGAGGGTTCTGTAGGGATGCTGCCCTCCACAGGTTTCCTTCTCAGCGTTGCTGCTGCTTTACATGAGACTTTTGCTTTGAGGTGACACCGTCTTAGATAGCCAATGGGAGAACTTTAAACTTGTTGGCCTCATTTTTTGTCTATCTTGGAAGATTTGATGTTTTTGGCCCGGTTGTCGAAGAAGAGAGCCGCTTTTCAGCAGACCCACGAGATGACTGAGTACGAAAGTTGTGGAAAGAACAGCATCGCTTCTTCGGCTTGCTCCGCCTGAGGCTGTCGGAGCGTCTGACAGCCCCTCCACAGTTGGTCTTATACTTGGCCAAAGGATACGGCCCCCGTGCCCTTGCTGCACTTCAGCCGGCACTTGCCGGGCTTTTGCGGTGGGGGCGGGAAGGGCGGAAGCTTCTACACGACAAGCAGTATTCGCAGCATGGGTCCTAAGTCTTCTTAATGCAAGCGCTCTAGGGACATCTTTCCGTTTCTCCGTCATCTCTTGCTACATGCGTGGCCCGAACGATGACTCAGCTCTTCGCAGTTCTTGGAGCGGTTGCTCATGCTTTCGTTGTGCAGGCAGATGTAGTGGTGAAGGGTTGCTTCATTCGGTTGATCTGGCTGATGAGACATACTCACAGGTTCATCCTTCAGCTCGGGGCAAGCGGTTGAAGCTTCGCATCAGACATGTGGGCGGTCGACAGAAAGTTCAAACCGGCCGGCGCCGATAGTGCGAACAGATCCCAGGTTCAACCTGCGTTGGGCCTTTGCTGCAGGAGCCGACATGCTCCGACATCTCTTCACCGTTCATGCGATACAGCTGCTGCCTTTGGGGAATGATCTGCCATACGGTGCTTGCCACATCTTTCATTCAAGCTTCAGCGAGCAGACAGCAACATGCTCCTGACAATTGCTTCCTCTTCCCTTGAATCCGCAGCGTAAAGCCACCTGCTCAAAAGGTGGCCCAGCTTCCCCGTGCACATAGCGTAGGGGCCTTAAAAATTTGGGTTTGGGGGGTTCCTTATTACAAGTACATTATCCTTTACCCCCAAACCCTATTCTATTTGTAAGGCCACTATACTAAACCCTCATCATCATAACCCTTTGAAGGAACCCTCTTCGAATGATTAAGGCCACGAAATATTAGTTATTATTCCAAGCCCAAACCACCAGGAGACTTTCGGGGAGTCTGCCATAGTCGTCGGATGCAGCTCGGAGGGTGGCGTGGCAGCCCGAGCTTGAATCAGTCCTCAGGGATAAGGCTTCAGGCTTGGGGTTTAGGGTTTTAGAGTTTAGGGGTTTAGGGTTTAGGGATGAGGGACAAGAGGCAGCATCCACCGCAATCCTCAGGATCCTCCCAGTCCCTCTTAACATAAACATCATCAACATCATCTTTCTGGTCCTCGTTATCACCGCCATCATCACCATCGGACCATCACCAGCACCATCCTTTTTTCGGACGCACAGAGCACACTCTCGCAATGCGAGCTGTCCTTGCTGCCAGCAGCTGCAGTAAGACAAGACATGCAAAAGCAGAGCCAAGTCAAGGAGGTCGCAAAGAACGGTGGACGCCTCCCCGCTCCATGATGTAACTGAAGGGTTCAGGGTCTGCAGCTGTGAGGGTCTTAGCAGGTGGCATTGGGTCCTTTTGCACATATCATGCTGGCGCTGGTCGTTACCCGTGACTCCGGGCTTCGTGTTCAGTTGCCGCAGGTTGTGGAGGCTGACAGCGGGATGGCCTGCACAGACGTAATCGCAAAACTGAGGTTGTGTGTGTGTGTGTGTTCCGTTTGTTATACAAGTTTGCGATATCAGCACCCACACCCCGGTAGATATCTGTCTTCTTCCTTGAGTTGCTACCTGCATGCCGATCTGGCTGTAGCATGCTGTAGCTGACAGACTGCTACAGTTACAGTATTCAGCCAAAACAAGGCAGCTTTCTACTCCCCAACACCCGCACTACGTCACTATGTGAGCAGGACACCCGTGACGATGACAGACTGCATCCAGAACTGCAGTGCTACGAGCATAAGTCAGGAGCGTAATCCTACTGCGGCTCGCGAACATGGATTTCATCCCTGATTCAGAGATCAATGCACTGGCGACACACAAGTTTCAATCCGCTGGCTACACCTGGCTGGATGAAAAGATGGACCCATTCTGGTCTAGCGTCGCGCAGCGAATTCCGAGGTATATTTCACCGAACCTTATTTCGGTCCTGGGTGGATTTTGCTGCGCGCTGGCTGCGGTTTTTACAGTTCTGGCGAATCACATCCGGTGGATTCCACTGTATTTCGTGGGGCCCTTTCTAATATTCGTATACATGACCTGCGACGCCGTGGACGGGAAGCATGCGCGGCAGACCAAGCAAAGCACCCCACTTGGGGCCGTGGTCGACCACGGCATCGACGCATTCTGTGCGTTTACGACGGGGATCGCTGTGGTTGTCACTGCCGATCCGGAGCTGAAGGATCCCAGGCTAATGCTGGCCTTTTGCCTCTTTCATGGCTCCTTAGGTGTACTTAGAAATATTTTGTATTTTTTGGTTATTATAATCCCTAAGAAACGGCTAAAATTATAATTTTGCTAGGGTTCTAAGTTCAGTAAAGGCTCCTGGTTCTGCGCACAGTGGGGCGAGCTGGTCCTGGGTTCCTTGGATCAGCGCGGTATCACTGAGGGCGAATTTGCCTCCATGGCCGTGATTGCTCTGCCTGGGATATTTGGCCCAGATGCTGCCAAGTCACGTATTCCTGCTTGGGTCCCTTATTTTGGAGACCAGCCGATCCTCGATCCTGTAATGATTGGTGTCATCCTTGTTTGCGGTGGCGTTTGCTTGTCCTTTGCTTTGCGTATCTTCCTGAAAGTACAGGGACTGGACCGGCTCAAGGCCACGTTTCCTCTGGTTCACTTGGCTGTGCACACCGGCGCTGCCATGCAGCTCGCCACTTCTCCACTTCGGCCACAGTTTCCTCTACTAACCTTCACGGTAGTTGGCATGAATGCCGCGCTTCTTGGCTTGTTTAGACTTTGGAGTCGCGTGCTTACAATCATTGGCAGTCTATACTCCGCAGCACACCGTTTCAATTCTGAAGGGGTGCGTTTGTTGGACACAAACGTGCAGGCTGAAGTGTAGTCGGTTCTACCGGATTGACGACGCCCCTTCCGAATCACTGCTTCTGAGCAACAGCATGTCGAGCCATTTTTCAAACACGTAGTGCAGACACCCACTAAACCCTTCACAAAACCAGGCTTCTAATGACGAAGATGCGCTTCATGGCCACCTTTCGTGTTCCCTGGCCAGCGCTACACTGGGAGACGCTGCCCTTCCTGGCTGGGAGTGGAGTCGAGGCTCTGGGTCCCTTGGTGTGTTTGGACCTCGTTTTCTTTCTATGGCTGCTGCTTTTGCTAGAGGAGCTATTGGTTGTTGGGCGTGTCGCAAAACCTGGCGGCGAATAAACGTAAAACAACGACAGCTGAAACGTCGTAATGGTCCCCAAAAGTAGGTGATGATTCAGCAGCTTCAAAAGTATCATCACCACCATGATCACAGCTTCAACATTCAGACAAGTTTAGGTGTTGGGATCGCTTGTAATGCATGCGTGTGTTTGCCTGCTGAATCATCATGGCTCTGATGATCACCATCAATCATTGGGATAGTGATGGCGCTGAAGAAGCTGGTATGGTGATAAGTGTGCTGGCGTGCTGATGTCAGATGGCGCCAGCAGCACGTGCAGAAGGAAGTAACATACTGTAGGGGTCTCAAGAATTACCTATACAATTGTTTTGGGGGGGTTCCGTGTTATGATAATAGGTATATAGTATAATGGGCACCAAAACCCTATTCTAATTACAAAGGCCCCTACATTGGAAGAGCATGAGTCAAAGGGGGAAAGGAGGGACCCTTAATGGGGACCCCTACCCTGTAATGGGCTATATAATGGGTATATAATAGTTATATTCAGGGTATATACTTAGGGGTCCTTATTGAGGGTCCCTTCTTTTACCCTTGGAATGAGGGTTTCTTGTTCGCACAAGGCTGTTTTTTCCAGTGTCAAGCCGAGGCTTCAGGATCGGAGCTGGCGGATGGCTCCTCGTCGCCCTGGTGGAGCTGGCCTTGTTTCTTGTTACAGTTACAGGTTTAGGGTTTAGGGTATAGGTTTTAGGGTTTAGGTTTTCGGTTTTAGGATTTAGGGTTTAGGTTTTAGGGTTTAGGGTTTAGGTTTTAGGGTGTAGGGTTTAGGGTTTAGGGCAAGTTCCAGGATGGCATTGTGCATGTGGTCATGTCTGTTGTTCACGGGTCCGGTCGGGTGTAGGATAAATTTGGTTTTGAATATAAAGTTATATAGATGGGGCTGTCGTGCTGAGGCAGCATGCTTAGTGAGTTGCCTAAATAGCCCGTCCCGGTCCACCCGGAGTGCTGTCCCTTCTCGGAAGTTTGAGAACGTGTTTAGACTAGGTGGTAGACGGACCGAATTAAGACACCTTGGTGATTTGGTGCCTCTTGCATGCCACAACTATTGGTATCGAGCATGGCTTTACAAAGTCCGTGGTCGCAAAGCTTTGCGATGCTGAACGCCTGATCAAATGTCTTTGCGCAACCCTAAACCCTACACCCTAAATCCTAAACCCAGGCTCCTAGTGATGTGGGATCGACTCCTACGTCGGATCTGCAGCTGTCTCAATGTGCCCTTCCTCGGTGAGGTGCCGCTGAAGGACGGTTAGAGGGGTTGTGTTATTTCAGCGGCACATGCCAGCTGCTTGCTTTCTTCTTTTAGCTACAGTGGGGTATAGTGGCTGCAGGTGCATAGCACAACCTTTGCATCCACGATGTACTAGTGTCCTCGGTATTTTGCGGTGCATGGCCCTAGCTTTCGAGCTACCGCAGGGTCTCCCAAAGGGTCAAAGCAACCCTCACCCAAGTCTGGCGACTTCATTCTCGGCGAACGGCGTTCTGCTGGCCGAAAGACCTCCCATATGTTATATTACGTGTTATCATAGTTTAGTATGATCTTTAGTATAGTCTTTTTCAAACATAACATTGAAACTATACTCATGTATCATATTGCATTATATCCAGTCTGGACGACCACCCAGATGCTGTAGAGAACTGATCTTCATGCAGCGGGCTGTGGCCAGAGCTCGTGCTTTATTCCAAGGGTAAAAGGAGGGACCCTCAATAAGGACCCCTAGGTATATACCCTTAACATAGCTATTATATACCCACTATAGGGTACGGGTCCCCATGAAGGGTACCTCCTTTTCCCCTTTGATTTATGAAGAGGCTTACGTCTTGAGGGGCCCATGGTCTTACTCTTCGCAGGCCTTAGTCCGAATCTTGGGAGTTTCCGAAAATTAGGGCTTCCTTTAAAGGGTTCCTCTAAAGGGATCTTTTAGGGTTCTATAAAGGGTTTAGGGTTTAGAGTTTCCGAAAATCAGGGGGTACCTAATTTGGAGGTCCTTACTATAAGTAAGGGATCCTACTATTTAGGATACTAGATTGGGGTCCCCTATTTTCGGAAACTCCCATTTGGACTCACGAAGAATCAGAATTAGGCTGTTGTTGGCAGGCACTATAGTGAACTCCAGAAAGTTGGAACATGGACTCGGGATGATTAGTGCTAGGATTCCTTATACCGTACCTTAAGGGTATGAGGATAATGATGTTCCAACTTTCTGGCCTCTACTGTATGCCTGCGAACTCTCGGGGGAGGGGGGAAAAAGGGGCGCTGAACGCCTTGCCGGCAGGGCGGTGCTGCAAAGCAGCTTGAGGCCGCCTTCTAGAGACTCCTTAGGGTTGTTTTTGTTTTAAATATTTTTGTTCATAAAAAGCCCAAGAGAATATTTTACATACTATTTATAGTCGTTTTTTGGGTTGTTTTGGATGTTGGTTCATGTAAAACCTAAGAGAATATTAGAAGTGCTATTTTTATTTGTGGTTCTAAGGGGGGTATAGCCTTGGGGGTCTTCACACGGTGGCTGGCAGTGCCCACAGCCGCCTCTTTAGAGCTTGTGCTTCAGATTGATTTACACACACTTGAGTCGAACGGAGTGTTCCTATAGGTACTGGACCCCATTCCTTCTTTGCGCTGTTCTTCGGCAACTGTGTTCACCTAGAAAATCCTCCCTTGTTAAAGGTGCCTATATTCGCAGCCGACTATACTAAGTAACAGACGTCACATGGTTGCCTCCACTGCCCGGGAGCTGCCCTCGCTGGCTTCCAGGCTGTACGTTCTTGTTTTGCAAGAGCTGGGCCCCCATTGAAAATGCAAAATTACGTAGCATCTAAAATTCAGTATACAGAATGTCGTATACAAGATCTGATATACAATATCTAGTAATTATATATATATATATATATATATATATATATATATGTATATATAATGCATAATAGTAAATACTTCTTTTCAGCCTCGGAGTTATAGGCCACAGTCCGGACTTGGAGTGCCACGCACTGCTGCGGGGATCACACAACCCCAACGCCCAGGACTTCGGCTCAGGATCAGGCGAATGGTAATGTTAACATGCAATAGCAAATCATGGTGCCGTTCTTACTCTGGCTTGTCACCATCATTGTCAGTACGACTATGCTTCGTTATCCCTGAATTCCTCCACTTCCGTGAAAACCCTATCCCTAAACCTTAAACCCTAAACCTCAAACCCTATCTTCTAATACCTCAAAAATTCCTTGCAAACCCTAAACCTTAAACCTTTGGTGGGTAGTGAGTCCCTGTACTCAGGTGCCTCTACCAAAGCCTCTGCCTTTAAGGCGATTTCAGATTATGCGGACGGAAGACGGCTGAAACAAAAAACAACCCTATACCCCAAAGGGAGGATGACCCCCTTGGGCCCAAGGTCCTCGCCGAAGGTCGAGAGGCCCGCTTTGCTTGCGGCAGGATGTTGACGCCCGGGCTTAAACTCTGGTTTGGGGTTGAGGGCCTTTAGGGTTTCCAGTAGGGGGTTCGGATTTAGGGTTGTAGGGTTTGGGGTTTAGGGCCTTTAGGGTTTACAGTAGGGGGTTTAGGGTTTAGGGTCTAAGGTCGGGCTTTCATGAGGGTCTGGGCGTGCATTAGGCTCTGGCTCTGCGGTGTAACAGGATTGCAAGTGTAGAGTTCACAGGTTTTGGGTTCCCTGGTTCAGGAGGCCAATCAGGCTTCAGGATTCTCCATTGGACTATGCTGTCACTTCATGCAGCCTTTTTGGCTAGAGTGAGCAGGGGGGTATAGGACATCATGAAACAGATGTCCAGGAAGTACCCCAGGGGGCAAGCCTCCACAGCTCTTCTTGCGTTGATTTTTGGTCTTGACGGGCGGCCTCGATCCCATCCAGCGATACGTCACCGTTTGACACTTTCGTTCCCAGAGTCCTCGACGTCAATGGGGCTCACAGAACTTGAACGCTGTTGAATTCTACGCTCCCCACGTCACGTCCTCGAATGCTTCATAAACGCTCCTTTTGAAATAGTCTAGTTATCATATAGCCAAAAACTCGCCCAAAACGCAGCCTGCAATGGAATCCAAGTTTCCCAAACCGTGCCAAGAAGAATCCGCTCCGAACCCGCCATGCAGAACTGGATAGGCCTTGAACTCCAGCAACATCGAAAACCTAAACTTAAAACCACACCCCAACTTTGTATATTCTTCAGTCTGCACAGTCACCCCAAGCAACCTCAACCGCATGCGTGGACGCGTAATATAGGGGCCGAAATAATTGCCCATACTATTGTGGCGGGTTCCTTATTATAAGTATAGTATAATGGGCCCCAGGACCCTATTCTAACTGTTAAGGCCCCGGTTTGGGCTGTTCCCTAAACCCTAAACCGTAGGTGCAAGAAGAAACCTTCGCCCTCGGCGCACTGGCGATTTCAAGCCCAAGCCTGGTGCTCATTCGTGTTTTCGACTTTCAGAGGGTTTACTGTGGGGGCTTAAAATTTTTACCTAGGGTTCCCTTCTGTCTTTAAGGGATCTATTGTTGGGTTCTATATTAGGGGGCCTAAATAATCACCTATACTATTTTGGGGCTTCCTTATTTTAGTTTTAGTACAATATGCCCCCCCCCCCCCCCCCCCCGCCAAAACCCTATTCCAGTTTCTAAGGCCCCTATAAGGGGTTCCTGGCTCATGGCTTATGATTTTGGAGGGGACGTGCTGAGGCTTGATATCTGGGGTTTCCCGTTTCCGGGGATCGGAGCTTGGACTTTAGAAGTTTAGGATTTAGGGTTTAGGGGTTTAGGCTTTAGGGGTTTAGGGGTTTGGGGTTTTGCGTTTTGGGTTTAGGGGTTTTGGGTTCTGGGTTTAGGGTTTTAGGGTTTTAGGGTTTGGGGTTTTTGGGGGACTGTGACCTGATCGAGTTTAGGGCTTCAGGAACAGGGGAGCTGTTGAGCATGGAGCGTGTTTGGGAAGGCTTCTGCATCTTGGGTGCTTTTCGGGTTGCTGGCTGAGAAAATCTGGGGAACAGGAATGCTTCCAAATAGCAACATACAAACCCTAAAATGCATAGACCCATGGGGCAATGTTGAAATTTCCTGACTTCAATGACAGACCAGAGAAGGCACACACGGCCTGGAAGAGCTGCGTATAAGCCCGAAGAGCCATGTTACGTAACACGTACTGTAAGGAGACCGTGGAATCTGCGGAGCCTTCTATGTCTCGGCCACTATGTTCTTCATATATATATATATATATATATATATATTATATTATATTATATTATATTATATATATATATATATATATTATATATTATATTATATTATATTATATTACATTATATTATATTATATTATATTATATTATATTATATTATATTATATTATATTATATTATATTATATTATATATATATACACACACACACTGGGACCGAGAGTGCTAGGCTTGCAAGCCTACCCTTTCCATGCCGGCGAGCTCGATCAACTGCCGCCCTTAGGGCGAGGCTTGCGATCTGATTTGTGCTGCTTTGCCCCAGCCGAAATCCGACGTGTGACGCCCTGGTTTCCGACGGAAGTTTCCGTGGAAGCCTTATAGATTCATATAGGGGCCTAACTAATTGCCTATACTATTTTGGGGGCTCCTTATTGATTATTAAGAAAGTACACGGGCTCCAACACCCTATTCTAATCATTGAGGCCCTTCTACTAGACTCATGTGGTCAACCGCCTTCGGAATTGCTCAGGTGGTCATGCTCAGACCTGACGCAGCGTCCCTCGTTCATGCCGTGCTTCGAAACCCCCGAGCCCCCAACACCTATCATTTCATAGCCTTCTTGCACTGTTCCAACTGTGTGGAGCGGTTTTACCTACATCAAGCAAAGCACGACGAAGCCTGAAACCAGAATACGTTGCTGAGGATTGGCTATGCTCCCTCGACTAACACAAAGGGGGACTATTATACATGCATGTATGTATATATATATATATACACATACATATATATATATATATATATATATATATAGGTACTTATACAAGTATGTGTATGCTTTTTATACATAGTCTAATGTATTGCAATGTCAGTGATAATCGTCGTGATAATGACAATGGTAATGTATGATAATGCAATGCAATGCACTGTAATGTAATGCAATGTAATGCAATGTAACGTATGTATGTGATACCTATATATAGATACATAGGTACAGATAGATAGATACACAAGAGGACGCTACGTACATGCACAGAGTCAGAAATATGCTTGATGGCGGTTAGCAGTGCTACTGCCACTACAATCCTCAGAGTTTAAAGGGCTTCTGGAGATCAGGGAAGAATTTTCATTGTCGTCCGGCTTCGCGGTCTGATGTCTAAGAATGACGCTACATGCAAAGCCCCCCCGGAGTCCAGACACACAAGCCCGCCACAGGTGGCAAATGGGGGTCGCAGGACAGATTCTGGCAGAGCGTGCAGCAAGATGTCCGAGTGCCACTGTGTGAGTGCCGGTGTGCGCTTTTTCGGAGAGGGAGTTTCTGCCAGTACCTAGCGATCGAAACCTGCATTCGAGCAGCAGAACATGATGTACGAATGAACAAAACAAAAAGAAAAACAAGAGCAACCCAACAAAGCATGTGCATGATGTTTCTAACGATGTATGTATGCTCCTGTCTCGTAACATGCCTACTGCTGCTTCTGCTACCGCTACTACTGCACTACTAAAACTACGACTACTGACTACTGCCCCTTTTCCCAGGATGAGCCCTCCACTGCCTTAGCCATGGCGATGCTTCCTGACACGCGTGGCGACCCACAAAGCTGGGCTGGGGACTCGGGGGTTCACGCTTCATGGCATGAGGCCTTGGGCCCGATAGAAGCGGGCCTGAAGGCCGGCTAACGTAATAGATGTTACAGCCATCATGCAGCTTACAGTACTCAGACGTTGAGTTTGAAGGTGGGTTCCTCAAATAAGTCAGGTCAACTGCAAGAATCTAGCAGCCGCAGACATCATCAGTCTTATCACCCAGCCGCAACATCACAATGACAACTTGTAGTGATAAGATCGTGTTCTGGAAATTTTGAAGTCCCTCCCCTCTTCCCGAATTCGAGACAAGCCGAGAAACGCGATCTTCAACATACCCCAACCGGGAAGACCTAATTTCTATGATCTTCAACATACCCAACCGGGCACACCTAATTTCAATGCGCCAACGACGTGTTTGCCGAGCGAAAGGTCGGAATGCTAGACAATGTTCTGGCAGGC